TTTATTTGTTTAATGAGGTCAATGGGGTGTTTTCTTTTTAGTCTTCTTTCTATGAGAATTTTGCTCGCTTCAGCAACCAGCTGGTTTGGATGTGTTGCCGTTCTTTCCTTGTATTTTTCTGCGTCCCTGCCGATTTCTTCTTTGACCGTTGGTATTTTTAAGTCTGCGTATATCTTCGCTTCTGACATACCATGGAGCGTTGACTATTGTTCTCAGTATCTTCGATCGTAGCGATTCTAGTTTATTTATGTGGTTCATCGCTGCTGTCCCCCATAGTGGTATTCCATATGTCCAAATTGGTTTTATTATCGTTTTGTATATTTTTAATTTATTTTCTATGCTGAGTTTAGAATTTCCACCAGTTGACCAGTACATTTGTCTTCTTTTTATCCGCATTTTGTCTATAATTGATTTAGCACGTTGCTTTCATGTGAATTGTGTGCCTAAGTGGAGTCCTAGGTATTTAACTTGCCTTGTTTGTGTTATGTGCGTGCTACTCAGTTGGATGTTTGGTGGTTTCCGTTTTCTTAGTGCAAATGTAATATGGTTGCATTTACTGGTGTTTGCTTTTATTCGTTTATCTTGTAGTCATTTTTCTATTTTTCTGATGTGCTCTTGTAGTAATTTGACAGCTGTTTCTGAATTACTGTGCCTGACTGAAACAACTACTGAGTGGAAAAAAAAGATAACGCTGATGCAACGAAACACACGGTGATCCCATAAAACGGTCGGTAGCATACGTACAGGCTGATCACGTTGTTCGATTAAAAACAACACCAAGTGTCGCCCGTGCGAGCGGTAAATAACCTGTCGTCATTAGAGGAACCTTTCGATCTATCGAATGAAAAAGAATGGCGTCTCTTAATCGGTCATCCAATCGGTTAATGCACCGTTCGTGGTGGCGCGCACGGTAAACTAAATAAATGGTTCCGATTCTCTTTCCCGTTCTTTCCCGCGCGATACCTTTTCATTTCGTTCTTTCAAAGACACCAACCGTGATTCCATTTGAAATCAGTGAAAATACGCTTTCGCTACGGTCTCTTAGCGTGCTTTTTTTTTTATAACGTTTATTGACCAGTAGAAGAGTATTACATGTGTGTGTTGTTTACAATAAACAATGAATTTCGGTTGTGGTATAGTTTAGGCAAAAGTACCGATACGTGGCGGTACGACATAGCCATACAATGTTTTGTGTGTCGAAATTACATATTTTAGTGTTACTATTTTTAAATTAATTTAAATTTAAGTCGCTGTAGAGCGGTGCTTATATACGATATTGGTTTTTCTTCCTATCTCTGTCCTGAAAACCTGGTCGCAAAAACAGGACAGTATCTCTTGGCGTAAACTGAAAGGAATATGACCTATCGCATAAGGGAAAATATACAAATAGTGGACATATGCGTGTATAACACTTTAATAACTGATAAACTTTGCTGTTAGAATTCGTTTACGCCTCTCAATTTCGTCGAAGAGGAGAAAAATATTAGAAATGACGAGCGAAACTATAGCCACGAAAGAAAAACGAAAATAGAGTACACGCGAACTTGACCATGTTTCCCAGGTTTTTTCCTTCGTAAGTTTAACCCCTCTGCGTCCCCCCCCCCTTCCATGCCCGCTCGTCCCCACGGATTTATCTGATTCAATCTATATGCAAATCAATTATAATGGTAAATTAACGGCTGACCTAGACTGTTAGGTAGATATATCTCGGCCGACGATTATCTTGCCAGCATGTTCGTTGCTAGTTTCGCAATTATGACCCAGTCGTTGTAATGACTGTTTAGTCACCGCTAGCTCCGCGGGGCAATTTAATTATCATCGAGCTGCGAGATCAGTGGTCTCGGCCGGTGTATCGTCGTGCCAGTTCCTCGACCGGCCATGCGGGAAAGCCGATCGGTACGTGTACGAAGAAATTATGTTGTTGCCGCACCAGCAAACGGAACGTGTAATTCGACTTTATTAGTTCGCTTGGCAGAGGTTGATATCATCGGAGATATTTAACATTCGTGGGTTATTAAATCGTATCTCGAAGGAAAAGTAACGATTACAAGATTTGTAATATCGGTATTTACCTGGCAAATGGCAGGGCTTTTCGGTAATTATTAGATATCGAAAGAGAACAATCTTTGTTAACACTGGAATTCTAACGAAACAATTTGCCGAATGTAAATCGTGGAATTTGCCACATCGGCAATACGTGGTACAGATTTTCGCGAATATTAGGTATCGAAGGAGAAAAATTTCATTTAAAACAGAAAGTGGAGCGGAGCCGGCCACTTCAATTCTCGAAAAGGAATTTTCATTTTCATTCCATTGTCAATATATTGAATTTTGATTTTCCGCGAATGAAACTCTAGCCGAGTTAACCATACGTAAAACCTATTTTCAAGAATAACTGTCAGTACTATTCCCTATTACCAATCCTATACTGAAATTGTTCATCCGCCTATTAAACGTTTATCCCTCTAACTTCACATATTTTAATCCATCGGTGAGCATTCGACGCACGTAGCCTTCCGCCGGTTAAAATTACGCTCTCAATCTGCTGAAAGATTGAATGGACGTCCATTTATAGCAAATGTACCGGTACCCGGCCGTACGATAACAAACGAATTGAAGAAAGGGGGTGGTAGGAGGATGGAAGAAGTAGCGTGGAAAGAAAAGTGGCGTACATGAGCGCGATCCTATAACTACCACCTTTAGGCGTATCTTCGGCCGGGTAACAGCGAGTACAACACCAAGTCCATTCAATCTAATACTTCTACGGGTAGGACGGTGGTCCGGGGAGGGCAAGCTAGCAACAACCATTTGAACCCACACAGCCAAAGGGGTCGACACGAACGTGGTTAGGGGCAGTTTAATATCGGATAATTGAATCCGAACCTCCCACCCCCTGGCCACACGACCTCTGGCTCACTCCTGGCCACGAAGAAACGAGACAGAGACGAACGGAGAGTGGCAATGAGAGAGAAAGCGAGAGACAAAGTGGAGAGACTAGGAACGAGCGAGAAAGGGTATAGTAGACTAGAAAGCGGAGATAAAGAACGACTCGAATAAAAAGAGGAAGGGAGACGGCCAGGGCTGATAGAAATAGAAACTGGTGGACGAAGAGGATGAGGAAAGAAATCGAAATGTAGAGGAAAATAAGAAGTAGGAAGGGAAAAAGGATAACTGTGACAAGGAGTAGAGTAGCGAGTATGTGGCCAGAGTTGGTTACTACCTCTTATTGCAACTTCATCGAACGAAACAAATAGAGGAAACACAGCGTAGTTCAAAGATGGAGGAACGAAGGAAGGGCGGCCCAATTTGCAGCGAGTATTACATCGAAGATCGACCGTAAAGGATATCCAAGCATATCTTCGCGATTAATTCGAGCGAACTTTATCTTCGTACGAAAGAAAGGACGATGGATAAGCATTCCAAGCTAGGCAACGCAATCCCATTCCGGCCAATAAGAGTAAATTAAAGCCGATGTGGAGACCGGTGGGTGCTAACAATTCGAACTGTCGAGCGTTGCTCTAAATGGCCCCGATATATGTGTCTTTCCGTATCTGCGTCTCTTTTCCTCCTCGCCAGTTTTTTCTTTCGCCTTTCACGCGATATAAGTCGGAACTCGTCCGGTCCCTGGCACCCAACCCTCCACCCCTGACCCCGTCGCGGCTCTCTATACACATAGTTAAAATAGTAGCGGCCTGTGGAATGCGGGACCGCGCACAATTTATTTGGCCAACGTAAATTTTCTGCCGACGAATCCCCCTGGGAAGTTATTTAATTTCGGGGCCGATTCTCAGATCTGGAGAACCCGCTGCTGTTAACGGCTCAGACTTTTTCACCCTTTTACCTGGCCGGCGCTTCTGGAAATTTATGTCACAGCACGGTGTACCGTTCAGGAATTGTCCGGATCGTATGCCGAACTCCATTCCTTTCCCTCGTTTGCGTCCTATGGACCGATCTCCAGAGACTTTTTCGTATAATAGTTTCTCGTAATCGTCGCTGGTTTCACCCTTTCGCGACGAGAGTGAAAAACTCAAGCCACGAAATTTCGCATTACAAATGTCACATTTTAAGTATCACCATACGTAATGCAATTATCGATACTTGTATCCGATAAAATGTCGAAACGCGAGCTACCTTCGTAATAAAGAGATCATTATTTTTCAAATCGTTCGTTCTGAAAATTCTTCGCCATTCGAGTATATCGTCGATACGTTAATATCGAGTAAAGTTTAAAACAAACTGTAATATTCTCTAATCGTAAGTCGATTAAAAACGAAACGGCGTTTTCTGTCGTGCAGAAAAATGGTATATACAATTGATAAAAGCGAGATTGGACCTATCAAATTGACCATAGGCAATTATGCCCGTCGGTTGGAATGAGGATGGTAGAGAAAAGTATCGCGAGATGGGGGCGGTATCGTTGAAATGCAGTCGTCATAATGACCCCTGCGATATACACAGGATACGAGTGTATACAATGACGACGGGGATACGCGCGGAAAAAATCAGCCGGCGACTGGGATTTCGTTTAATTAATTTTTTAATTACAAACTCATCGAAATGAGTCGGCGAACAGCGACAGCGGACGACGACGGCTCGTATCGACCAATCCA